GCGAGCTCGAGACCTGCGGAAAACAGCTTGCGCTCTGAGGGGGAAAGGCGAACCGGGGTCCACTGCTGACTCTCGCAGACCTGAAGGGGGTTCAGGAGTGAGCCTGAGCCCTCTCCCCAGAATCCGAGGACCTCCCGAGAGGACTGACGGAATCTGTGGGTCCCTCGAGACCGATCCAGATATGTGGCCAGATCCTTGAGGAAGATCTCGCTGGGGTCACGGTCAAAGACGGTGCCGCGAGCCAGCTCACTCCGCAGCTCTGGAACGGCATCGCTCAGTCGCCGGAAACGCCCGCCTCCTCCTCCTCCTCCTCCTCCACCGGGGGCAAGAAGCCGCCGGGGGCCACTCCCGATGAGACCGCCTGCATCATTGTCGCCAGGCGGAGGAGGTCGGAGTCCTGGATCGTCGCCGGACGGCTCGCCAGCTCGGTCAGCGTAGTCTCCGTCCAGGCCTTCTGGTCGGCAATCATGTTGCGCAGGTTCGTGAACGTCAGCTCGTTGTCGCGGCGCTGGGTGTCAAGCACGGTCGTCATGTCGAAAACCGCCCTCCGTCATCGGCCTCATGCTTGATGATCCGGGCGGCGGTCCTGAGGTCTTCGGTGCCGCTCCGACCTCGCGCGAAGCCGGAGAGGGCTTCACCGGGGCGTACCCCTCGCCGTATTTGACCATCGGGATCCGGTGCTCTTCGAGCGACACCTCCTGCTTCGTCCTCGTGGGCGGCGGAACCGGCATCGGGATCAGCGGCGACTCCTGCCACGGATCCGAGGACAGGTCGAAAGCCCGGACCTTGGCCGTGCACTCGTCCTTGTACTTGGCTTTGATCGCCTTCTTCCTTTCGATGGTGATCTCTTCTGGTGGCGCTCCTCCTTCTCCCCTTCTGTGAAGCGCGTGTAGCCGAGCTGAGCCGCGCACGCCGTGCACTTCACGTAGGTGCCGTGCTGGTTCTCCACGTGCCAGCGGGAGTAGGGAGGATGAATGCACGTCTCCGGATCCTCGCGCTCCTTGATCAGATTCGGCATGAGCGTCGACGTGAGAAGGACCTGGGTGCCAGCATGCACGTGCCAGAAGATCCTGAGTGTGAACCTGCGCCAGCGGCGGCACGCCAGCTTTAGGTCCACCCAGCCGTTCACAAACCACACCTCCTCCTGCTCGGTCATCGCCTCCAGCTCGAGAAGGGCCTCCAGGTTCTCGTCGTGCTCCCGCTCCGGCAGCTCCTCCCAGTCGTGCGCCTGCCTCCTCGGATGCGGTGACTTGCCGCGCGGGTCCTTCTTGCTGACGCCCAGCCGCCCACTGCTCAACGACATCACGCACACTGCACCCACATCGGCCGCTAACGGGAAGGCGGGCCTCCTCTCTCGTCTGAGCCAAGCGCTCCGGAGTGGAAGGGTCGGGTCCACAGCGTCGCAACCCTCTCGGATCCCCGCTCGAGGAAGGAGGGAGGGAGGGAGAGAGGCTGACAGGGCCACTGAAAGAAACGGGCCGACTCTCACCAGCCGATCCCTCCCCGCGGTCCTGAGACACGAACTGCCGAACCGACATCTTCAGCGTGTCCTGGATCTCGCGGGCCAGCACAAACTGGGAGGCCGGCCGCTGCACCAGGTCGACCGAGCGGTGGCCCGAGGGATGCGAGACGAGGTCGAACACCACGGTACGGGCACCTACCTTCACGCTCATCTGGTTCCGGGGGAGATCGATGACCGACCCCAGACAGGTGAGAAATTTGGCGGGCAACAGCGGCGGGCAGGCTCCCTCTAAGATCAGAAACTCGATGATGCCACAGCCGCCGAGGGTCACGGGGCGCCACGCCTTGCCGACAGGGGCGGCTCGGCCTCCGATCCCAGAGGCGGCGACTCCCTCCACCGGACTCCAATCGTACACGATACGGTAGCCATGGACCTTCAGCGCCTGCACCTCGGCACGTCCGATCAGGGCCTGGGCGGCCGCCGTATCCACCAGCGCGTGGGTGCCTAGGCTCCAGAGCGTCACGTCAGCAAAGGTGGCGTGGATGAGATCGGACATGGCCGAGAAGCTGTCCCCGCCCTCGTTCACGAAAAAGTAGGTGAAGCCGGTGGGGGCGACCTTACCAGCAGCCTTCTCCTTGGCGATGCGGTCGGCCCTGGACAGGAACGGGTTCGTACAGCCTTCGGTCCAGTGTCCACGCTGCCCGCAGTTCGCACAGCGCAACTTGCGGCGAAAGTCCTTTTCTCCAATCTTCCGAAATCCGGGACGAGCTGGTCGTGATGCCTTTGGTCGGTCGACAAAAGTCGCGATCCGTCTTCTTAGCCAGCTTCAGCTTCCGAGACTCGGTCCACGTCCTGCGTTTCTCCTTGCCGTACTTCTCTTCGACGACTGCCGCGAAGACCTCAGCGGCCTCGTGCTCGTCCACCTCCTGCTCCTCCACGGCCGTCAGGAACGCGAGGGCCTCGTCCTCCGGCAGCTCGAGCTCGTCGTCGTCGTCGTCGTCGTCGTCGTATAAGGGTTCCGGCGGAGGAGAGGGGGCGGCCGACGATGATGCCGAATCTTCGTGCAGGAACGTCGTAGAGACAGGCACTGGATTCGCAGGCAGCACTCGTTTTTCTTGAACATCGAGGAGTAGAAGCGCTGACCTGACGGATGCCACGTCTTTCTTTCTCGGGCCCGGCGAAAGGGGGGGATTGGGAAAGGGGGGGTTACGAAATTTGCTGCATGCAGCTGGTTTTGGCCCCACCGATGGGCCCATTCCTCGATACATGGGCGCCTCCGGCGCCGGGAGGCGCCGGGAAAATCAGCTACGTGAGCTGATTCTCACCCCCCCCCTTTGCTATCCCCCCCTTCCCCCCGGCCCGACTTCCCGCTGGCCAAGGTCCGCATGTTGATCTTGTTCTGGGCCGACAGATTTGCTCCTTCCTCCAGGTAGCAGGCCAGCACGTTGTCCGGAAGCGTGAGCCCACGAGCAGCCGCCTCCGCCAACTGGGCGTCGCGACGCAGCACGAAGTCAGTGAGGCTGTCATTGCGTTGAATCATTTCATCAAGGAGGGCATGATTGTGCGCCAGCCTGTCACGATCTCCCGGTCTCTCCCCATGGAGCACGCTCAAATGATCTAGAAACTATTCAATTCCAGTCTCCTTCTCCAGGGCCGCGCGAACCGGCTTGAACTTCAGCTGGAGGTCGACCAGGAGCGATTCGAGGAGCCTCGACGACTGAGTCTCTGGCTGGTGTCCGGTTCGGCGAGACCAGGTTCGCACGTTGCTACAGTACAGCTTTAAGTGCTCTAGTCCGAGCCAGTTGGGAGGAGGTCCAAAGCCTCGGCTGCGTTCGGGGCGATGCCAGGTCGAGGTCATCCACTCCTGAGAGTCCCACTCCTCGTCCTGACCGCCGCCGTTGTTGTCGCCTCTCGCAGTAGACCACGGCCACGTCGAGGTCCACGAACCCCACCAGCCGGAGCCTCCGCTCCAGCCTTCTGCACGCTGCCATCCTGAGTCGCTCACGGAGGCCTGGACGCCAATGGAGCGTGCATTGTCGGAGAGGTTGCCAAGATCTTCAAAATCGTTCCCATCCGCCGGCATGCCGGCAGCAAGAGGGTTCGACTCACCTGTGTCGCGCTACGAATCCTGCACCTGCAATTCTCAGCACGTCCGCTCCTCTCCACGATCAAACTTCTCAACCACGAGCTCCGCTTACCACTGTCACAGGATAGAGGGGGGTTGGGACTTTGTAGAGAGGGAACGTGGGAGGCTGACGTACCGTGTGTGCATTCACGCAGCCCTCAGCGACTTCCAGAGAGAAGTCGCTCCCTAGCCAAAATGGATATATTATACTGCAGGGCACATCTAGGAGAGAGAAAGAGAGAGAGAGAGAGAGAGCAAGAGAGGAACCCGGGACCACACTGAGCCGGATTACGATGACAAAGGAGGAGGAGGAGGAGGAGGAGGAGGAGGAGGAGCAAGCAGAGGAGGAGCAGAGGAGGAGGAGGATGAGGAGGACGAGGATGAGCAAGAAAGAGCAGAAGTAGGAGGAGGAGGAGGAGCGCTGATTTTTGATTGGTTGGTGAACAAGGAGGAGCAGAAGCAGGGGCAGGAGGAGCAGGAGCAACAAGGCTCCGAAGAATGAGTGTCGGCGCAAAAGACTCTTAACTAATACCAAGCCTCGAGAGGCGAATGATGCCATGAGCATGTTCGAGCAAATTGCTGAGTGCGCTCTTTCCGTTCCCGTGCCGGCCCAGGTCGAGTGGCATTCGGCCCGTCCCGCCACCGTGCTTGGATTGTAGGTCCGGGACCCATTCGATGCCAGCTGGGATCTCGTAGGAGACCTCTCGGAAGCCTCTTGGAGACATTTGCCGGGTGTCGTGGGCCCCTCGTGGGCCTTTTGGGGGCCTCTTTTGGGCCGCTTGGGGGCGTCCTTGGGCCTTCCTTAGGGGTGTCTTGGGGGCCTGCTGGTGGATTCGGGGGTCCCACCTGTGGGCGGAGGCTCGAAGTGTCAGTTCGTGTTCCCCTATGTTGGGCCCCTCTTGAGGCCCGCTTGGGCCGCCTTCGGGGTCTCTTGGGCCCTCCTGGGCTTTCCTGTGCCGTCTGGGAGCCCTCTTGGGTGCCTCTTGGGCCGATCCTGGGGTCCCCTTTTGGCCGTTTTGGGGCAGCCCGAAGACGAGAATGCTAAACTTCAAACACTTTGGGCACATCCGTGACTTGTGCCTATTGGCGGACCACTTGGCTCCCTCTTGGGGCGTCTTGTGGGCCCCTTGAGCCGTCTTGAGGCCATCTTGGCCGTCTTGGAGCGCTCTTGGGCCTTCTTGGGACCGTCTTAGGGGCCTTTGAGGACATCCTTGGATCGTCTTGGCGCTTTCTGGGATCTCGAAGAGTCACCCGGGGGATTCCCCAAGAGTGCCCGAGTGAGCCCAGGAGCGCCCGGAACTCGGGGCTGTTGGCCACTTCAAGAGTATGTTCAACATTCGATGCTCAACACAAAAGGGCTCCAAGCGACCTGAGGACACTCCACTACTTGTCAAGACACGGTGGCGGGTCAAGTCAATCAAGACAGTTGCACCCATGCTCCTGATCGTATTTTTTCTTATGATGGCTTTTGTCCACAGCTTCTGGGCATTGGACCTGGAAATGGCTGGTGACGTGAGGTTCTTCGAGGTGGCTAATTTGTTGTTTACTGGTGAGAACTTGTTTGTCAGCCGCCAAGACTTGGATGACGAACCCGCTGGCAAGAGAGTGCTGCTAATGGGCTTCACTCTGACAGGACTGTTTGTTTTCTTAGCGTGTGCTCTCAACATTTTCATCGCGGTGATGGGCGACTGCTACGACCTGGAGCAAGAACGCATGACGTGTTCGTTCCTGCAGGAGAGGGCGCGGATCTGTTGCAGCGCTTGCCTCGGGCTGAAGCTTCATCGCAACGGAGTGTGGCCAGGTGCAGCGGCGACATTCCTTGCGGCGGCCGTCATCGTTGTCGGCGTGGTTGTTCACATGTTCGTGTCGGCGGCGCTCGGCGCCTGGGCAGTGGCAGCTGGGCTTGCTTCGACCGTCGAGCTGCTCAGCGCATGGCGCGTGGCGAACATCACACACAAGTGGTCCGACAGGTACCTGTGGCTGTGCTACAGAGACTCCGTGGACGAGCACGTGTTCCTCACGGCTGCCGTTGCCGACGATGCCGTGGACCTCGGGCGCAGCACGCGGCTCAAGCAGCACCTTCACTGCCGCGTGCAGGACATGGAGGACAAGATGGGCGAGATGATGAGACGGCAGTCGCGGGAGAAACAAATTATTCCGATACCGCTACCCAGTCAGAGCGCACTCTGGGAGAGGTCTGTGTAGTAGCGGTATTGGTGCATTTTCGTTCGCCCAGGCAGGACTCCCTCCTGGAGATGATGGGCCAGCAAAGCTCTCTCCTGGAGCTCGAGAAAGAAACGTTTGCATAAACATGCATGTTTGGAGCTGTGCGCGAATGTCTTGGGTCGGCGCCTGGGCCCCCCTGGCGGCCCCTCCAGCTGCGCCCCCTGGCGCCCTCCGCGCCGCGCCAGCGAGCGGGGTCCGGCGCCGATCCAAGAAAACCCCGCGTAGTTCCGCAAGTTTGTGGTTTTGCCGTGTTTCCTTCTAGGAGCGGCAGCTCGAAGACCAGGCGGAGCTGCGCGCCGCCGTCTCGCAGTTGCGGGCCAGTCAGCGGGAGCAGGGCGAGGTGTGCAGGGAGCTGCTGCAGCTGCAGCAGGCCGCCAGCCGCTCCGCGGGCGAGGCTTCCAGGATTGGCAGGGCCTTCTGCCGCGCCTCCGAGCGCCGCCCCGCCGGTGCCCAGCCCGCCCTGCGGGACCGCCGCCAGGACGACGGCCGCGGCCTCTCGCTGGAGGCGGCAGACCGCGGCGCCGACGTGCGCCGCGGCGAGGGCGGCGGCAGCGGCTGCGCCTCTTCGGATTCCTGCTGCCAGAGCTGAGTGCTCCGCGGCGCGGCGTGGCCGCGGGGACCGCCATGCACAGTGGCGCCTGGCGGGGGCCCCGCCAGCGCTCGGGCCGCCAACGGTCCATAAGATCTGGGCATTGGTTGCTTTTTTCACGACGGGCGTGTTCGTTTAGCTTCGGGCCCCGGGATCATTACCGATCGATCCAGTTCGGAAGCTGCCACAGAAGTATGGGGTCTAGGGCTCCGGTCGTGATTTTCCCGATGTTTCACTTCATTCCCGACGTCAGATCTCACTGGTCGCCGTGAGGGGAACGGGTCCTGAACTTTTGCACTGTTTTTGGCCTCCCAGTGCCCTCCACGGACCCCGGGACCGTCAAGGGAAACGACTCGGGACGCAGGGGGAAGGCCCGGGGTCCAGGGCCCGTTGCTTCGCCCAGGGTCTCCCCCCCGGCACGGGGCATCTGGCTGTTGCCTCCGTGCGCACCCCTCATCGGCTTCGCACGAGGGTGACCCTTCACCAGGGTGGCCTCTGGTGCGGGCCCATTGGGGCCCTCGATCGCTGAATGCGATGCGATGGCCGCGGCCTGCTCGCTTGGGTTGGACCACCCTCACTGCCCCCCCCCAAAGCAGCGCACCCAAGGTCGCTCGTGCCGAGGGTCACTCTTGCGTGTAGGCGACCGCCGCGTAGCGAGGTGCCCGTCACGTGCTGACCTCTTTGGTTTTCGATTGGCGGGGCAGCGTAGAGGTTTTCGGCCTCCACTTTGGAGTTGTCTGCCCATCGAGTTGGAGGCCGAACCAACCAGAGGCTTTCTGGTCTCCGGGCAGAGCGTCGCAGAAGGCGCGCCCCCTGGGATGAGCGCACCCTCGCCGTGAACTGCGAGTGCGGAAGGTGGTAAAGAAGACGGATGGGCCCAGACCTCCGACGTCAAGCGTTTGTTTCGCAATGTGGACCCCTTGCAGTCTAGATCTTTTTCCCGGGGCCGGCTTCTTCACTTCGAGTAGTTGTTTGTCGGCCCTGGGTCTCGGTGAGGGCCCTTGGCAAACATCTTCCGTCGTGATATTTCGCAGCGAGACAGGGAGGAGGAGGAGCAGGGGGAGGAGGAGGAGGAGGAGGAGGAGGAGGAGGAGGAGGAGGAGGAGGAGGGGGAGGAAGAGGAGGAGGGGGAGGAAGAGGATGAAGAGGAGGAGGGATGAGGAGTGGAGGAGGCAGTAGCAGAGGGAGGACCAGACTAAACCCAAGATGTATCAACGATGTTGCAATACTCCCGTCCCATGTCCCCTCCTCGCAATAGTAAGAAGATGTCCTTGCAACCATTCTCTTTCACTGCCCGAAGTGCCCTCAGTGAACCACAGGGTCCCATGGGCCTGCATTTCAGGCGGGAGGCCAGTTTTGAAAAACAACCGCCCCCTATCCTTCGACCTATCGTGGGAGCATGTCAGTTCGAGACAGTATCCAGCGACAGCCCCGACATCAGAAGGAAGCAGACCACACCCCACCCACGTAGCTGTTGTACAACTTTCGACTTCTGGTGATCAACGATACAGATTTTGCAAGGCAGAGCCCCTGTTTAAAAAGGGGTCGCCTCCATCCGTGTCTGTGTCTCACCTTTTCAAGCTCCGGGTCATATGTAGGTAGGTTTCAGGCGAGCTTTATTTTGAAAACGATTCTCCCTCCGTCCATGAAGCTGTTTCAACGTGAACGGCCCGCTCTCCATCCCTGTAGCTGTTGGGTATTTCGAGTGTCAAGGTCTAGAGCGGTGAGGAAGTCTCAGTCGCACCGCCCTGCCCGCCCACACGTCCGGTAGCCAGACCAGAAGGACCTTGTCTGTAAGGATGCAGGGGGAGAGACGTGCGGGCCCCCCGCTGTTCCGAGGATCCGACGCTCCTTCTCCCAGATGATTGATCTCTTGGGCTGATCTTCGAGCGGGCGGTCGCCCCCCCCCCCAGCCTTCTGGGTACTGTACCCCCTCGGCGCCCCTTCAATGAGGTTGCGCTTCTCGCGGGCGGTCCCAAGCGCTCATCCTGCTTTTCCTCCTCCTCGCAGGAGTAGGAGGAGGAGGAGGAGGAGGAGGAGGAGGAGGAGGAGGAGGAGGAGGAGGAGGAGGCCCCCCGCAGATCCGGCCATGTCGCGCCGCCCCCCTCCTGCCCCCGGCCCCCCCCCTTCCGATCTCTCGCTCCTCGCCCTCCTCGGCTCGTTTCGTTTCGATTGCATCCTGAAGGAGAATGTTTTTAATCTCTGGGACATCACGTGCGTTACGCCGCCCCCATCCCCCCCCTAATGTAACGCTCCCCACGCAGTGCGCCCCAGGCACTGCCGCAGTTTGTCCGGCACCAGTCTGACTGCCGCAGTTCGTCCGGCACCAGTCTGTCACGGTAGGGGGCGGGGGTGTTATCCGTCGTTCTCGCAGCCTCCCATTCCCGCACTGTAGGTGAACCCTCGTCTCCCACATCGCAACGAGCAGCGCGAAAGACCGCTGCCGCCGCTTGTACGTTCCGCAGGCCCTGATCCTGACGTTGTAGCTGATGATGGTTGTCTCCAGCTTCGCCTCGAAAATCTCGCTGAGCAGCGCCAGAGCCCGCTGCCGCTGCTCGCCCTTCCCGCACGCGCTACTGCTCATACTCGTTCTTCCTTCCCCCCGATCCGACGTCGCGAAAGAAGTACAGCATCGCGATACATATATATATATATATATATATATATATCACGACTGGAACCCTGGTTCCCATCCGTCTGCGGCATTTGCCGAGCCAGATCGATCTGCGATGGTCAGGGGGCCCGCAACGCCCAGATCTCAGGGTTCCTCCGTCGTCCTCGTCCCTCGATCCTCCGCGATCCTCCTCCATCCGCCCCTGCGAGGGCCTCCGCGCCAAGCGGCGCCGGCTCCTGCGCGAGCTCGCGGCGCTGCCGCAGGCGGCCCCCTGCTCTCCCGCCCTGCCCGCTCGCCAGCGCGCACAGGGGGCGGGGGCGAGGGGAGGGGGGGGGGCAGGGAGCGAGGGGAGGGGTTCTGCGACCACTTGCGAGCGCTCCCCCTACTGGTCAAATCGACGCTGGGATATCGGACGCCCCTGCTGGGATTACCCGGTTGTTGCAGTCCAGGCGTATGTGCTCGATTTCGGCCCGTCTGCGGCCTGACACTGGGCCACAGGAGAGTCAAAACACGGATCTGGGACGCAAAAGTGGGCCGTGAGAAAGGTCCAGAGTCCAGATTTCTGGGAAGGCCGATTGAAACAAATCATCTCGGAGGATGTCTGGGGAGGTGGGGGAAGGGGGAGGGGAAGGAGGAGGAGGAGGATGAGTGGGAGGAGGAGGAGGAGGAGGAGGAGGAGGAGGAGGAGGACCAGGAGGAGGAGTTGCCTAAACACGCGTGCACGCCTGTATCACAGGCTGTGCCAGGCCAGCCCACAGGGCTAGCCTACTACGTACCGCCTGCCTCACTCTGACCTTAGGAACTGGCGACGGGGGGCTTGGTGGTGGAGGATGTGTAACTGGTGGTGGGGAGAAACACTGCTCATCTGTAAGGCCCTCTGACCCTCAGACGAGGTACACCAGCCGTACCACGGGCTATTTCGCCTGGGGCTCGACCTGCAAAGCATTTGCTTTGTCACACCTCGCATTGCTACCCAACTTTGGTAGTCACCCGGCGCCACTTCTTTTATGCATACTCTTTTGCTGTGGTGCCGCCCTACAGCAGCGACACTTACCTCGCGTGCACAGCCTTAATTACCGAAACATTCGTGCAAGCCTGTATCACAGGCTGTGCCAGGCCAGCCCACAGGGCTTGCCTACTGCATACCGCCTGCCTCCTTCTGACCTTGGGGACTGGTGGTGGGGGTTCGGAGGTGGTGGAAGATCAGTGCTGGGGGCTTGTTGGGAAGGATGTGCCCTGGGCAAGAACCCTGGAACTGCGTCAGTTCAGTTTCGCATCTATCCACTTGCATTGCTTTCTTCGCACTTATTTACTTTTGCTTGCACCTTACCAACAGAGGCGGCACTATCACTGAAACTTAAGGGGCTTATTGTTTACCTGGATGTGGGGTAGGTGGGGCTCATCATATGAAGGTTAGTGCCGACCTCTAGTACCTGGCGCTCGCCTACTCCTTTAACTACTCTCGTCACGGCCTTATGTTCTTTCATTTACCGCGGCGCCCCGCCAGGTACATTGTGAGCCGAGTCGCGTACGCATTTCGTTATTCAAGTCAAGAGCGCCACAGATTTTCAGCTCAGGCCTGCTGGGCGCACAACAGGTAGGAGGAGGAGGAGAAGGAGAAGGAGGAGGAGGCGGGAGACGACGAGAAGAGGATGAGTTGGGGAGGGAGGGGGGGACGAGGAGCAGGAGGAGGAGGCCGAGTACGAGGAGGAGGGGTAATGGAAGGAGGGCAAACACGAGAGAGCAGGAGGAAGAGGACGACGACGAAGAGGGGGGATGAGGAGTTTGGGGGTGGAGTAGGAGGAAGAGGAGGAGGAGGAGGAAGAGGAGGCGGATGAGGAGGAAGAGGAGGAGGAGGAGGAAAAGGAGGATGAGGGGGAGGATGACGACGAGGAGGGAAGAGGAGGCGGAGGGGCGGAGGCGGAGAAGGAGGAGGACCCTAACCTCACACCTCCGACGCTGCGTTTAATCCAGTGTCCGCCGTCCGTCCCGGATATGTGCCTCTTGAGTGCAGCATTTTTTCCCAGAGCAGTCCAACGTACGGGGCCTTGTATGTGCTGCTCTGATTGCCCCTGGTATCCAGCCGCCCGGTCGAAGCGTCAGCGCTTTCCTCTTGCATTCCTGTCTCTGGCGCGCCCCATGTCCCGCTTGCCAACTCATGCGCGATACGCTTGGACAGCGGCCCGCAGCAAGGGTTGTAAGGGTAGCGGGAGGATGATGGACAGTAGAACATCAGTACCCGCACGAATCTGATGACGAGGAGTAGCGTCGGCAGCAGGAGGAGGAGCACACTCATCCGCCCCGTGGCCGCGCAAAGCAACAACAAACGGAAGACGATCATAACAATAGCAACGGGAGGGAGGAGGAGGAGGAGCAGGAGGAGGAGGAGGACGAGGAGGAGGAGGAGGAGGACGAGGAGGAGGAGGAGGAGGACGGGCAGGGAAAACAGGAGGAGGAAGCGGAGACGGAGGGGGAGAAGGATGATCAGGGAGGGGAAGGGGGAAGAAAATTAGGGGCTGGAAGTGCGAGGGAAGAGGACTGAGGAAGAAGCAATGGAAAGACTAGTTGTCAGGCTTGAAACCAGGCACATGTTCACGCGAAGCCCAGTTACTGCGGGGGCTGGTGCTACCTGGTGCCCAAACTCGACAGCCCAATCGAGGTTACATACTCTTACAAGCCACAGCATATCAGCACGAGCTGCTTCCGCAGATCTGTCGTCGGGTGGCAGAGGGTGGCCACGTGAAGACCCACTTGTTGCGTTCCCTCGCCCCTCTTGCACAGCCAGGGGTGCTGTTCCCGCAGCTGGCGTTATGGTGTGTTGCTATGTGTCCTTCGGCTCGGCGTCGCGGGAACCTGCCTGTGGACGGGAGGCGGAGCTGCTCACGACATTTCGGCCCGGCCTTGGAGCCCCTTCCTCTGCCGATCATCTTGGCGCCAGATTTCCCAGACACTCCTGGTCCGAGAGAGTGCGAGGAGCGGGAGCGGGAGACGGACGGGGAGGGAGAGGAAGACGAGGAGGAGGAGGAGGAGGCAGAGGACTAGACGAGGGCTCCGACCTTCGGACTCTTCCTGTCCGCGTCCTCGATGTTCAAGAAGAACGAGGAGGGAGTCGGGAGGAGGAGGGTGATGAATGGAGGAGGCTGTGGACGACGGCGACGATGGCTGAGGCGGCGGCGGCGACGGCGATGACGGCGGCGGCGACGAAGGTCCCAGAGTTTTGTTTCGATTTGTTGAAGACGGGGTCCACGGAAGTCCCAACGCGTTCCCCAGAGCCGGTGTTGCATTGTGAGTCATGTCTTGACGCTCCTGCGGGGCCCTACGAGAGACCCCCTGAGGCCGAAAGCGGCGAAAAACCTCCGTCCTGATGTGTGTTTCGACTGGTTGAATGTCTGGGCTGCCGATGGTGGGGGCGGCGCAGGCCCCATCAGCGGCGCCGCCCCTCGGCATCCGACGATGATTTTGTTGTTCAATCCGCGGCCACTGAGGTCCCCACCCCTTCCTGGGATAGCCCTTCGCCCCAGATCAATGTTTTATGGCCCCGGGGCCCGATAGCTGGCCCCAGAGGCGGAAATCTAGAGACAAAAACGCACGGATTGAACACAACGCGTATCGTCGGAGATTTGGGACGGTGGCGGCGACGACGACGACGACGACGACCCCAGACCTCCGACGTCATGTTTTTTCACAACGTCGACCCTCGAAGATTCAGATCACTTCCCTGGGACTTGCTTTTCATCCTGAGTCGTTTGTTGACCGTCCTGGGGACTGGTGAGGGCCCCATGTGGACCACCGCGGGGATTGTGAAGTAGATCGGGAGTTACAAGTGGAAGCTAGTGGATTACATTTGGCCTACCCGTAGCTTACATGTGGGTTGCCAGTGTCCGAAGTATCTCAGGCAGGGCTAGAAACTCTCGGCTAAGTAGGCGGGCCCACGCAGCCTGGATATTTACCCCCCCCCCGGCCATTCATGGCACTTGCTACCAAGCTATCAGGCAACCCCCGCTGTGATCCAAGCAGAGGCCGAACGCTGCCAGAAACCTCACGCCATGATTGCTTCACGACGCGAGGGGCGCAGGCGGCGGCGAGGGCCCCTCGGCGGCGCCGCGCCCGCAGGAGCTCCCCGGCCCGCCGGGCGCGGAAGCTTTTGCCGAGCAGCAGTTCCTGGCCCTCTGCGCGGGCGCGCGGGCGCGCCTGGACGCGTGGAGTTTGGCGCACGCCCGCGGCTGAGCCGCCGGCTGAGCCGCGCGCGGCCGCGAGGGCTGAGCCTCGGCGCGCCCTCAGATCTGGGCGTCGCAACTCTTTGATAGCGGGCGTTTTCGCCGGGTCTCGGGCCCCAGGGCCATCACAGATCGATCCGGCTCGAAAAATGCCGCAGACAGATGTGCAGGGCTCCGTCGGTCGTGATTCATGACGAGTTTGTCGCGACGTCGGATCTTAGTGCACGTCGCCGATCGCGCACGGCCGAGCCGCTGCGGCCGGGCCTCACGGCGTCAGAGGCAACGATACGGATATCACTGCTCATCTTTTAGCGGTTTCGGTATCGTCGCCACGGCTGGATTCTCCTCGAGATGCTGGTCAAAACGCATCCCAGGAAGGGTCTCGGGAGTAGCGGTAGCGGCTTTTCTTTTGTCCCTCATCGGCGGGTTCCTCGATGTCTGGGCGGCGCAACAAAAGTAGTGTCCTTGGGTGGTTTTTCTCACATCCAAAGGATGAGGTTCTTGTTCCCCATATCCAAAGGATGGGGTCCTTGTTGTTACCGACCGCGCCGAGAACTCACCTCCACCTCCTCCCTCCCCCTCCATATGCTAAGCCGCTAAGCAATGTCATGTCATGCGATGCTACGTTATGGTATGGTGTATGTTATGGTATGGTATGGCATGTGATTTTGTGGTATGACATTGTATGTTTTGACATGTTATGATATTGTATGGTATGCTACATTATGTTATGACACGTCACGTTATGATGTGATGATTTGCCATGCTATGATGTGATGGTGATGGTGATGGTGATGATGGTGTTGATGATGCTGGTTATGATGATGACACTGATGGTGATGCTGATGCTGCTGCTGATGATGATGAGAATGATGCTGCTGATGACGATGATGCTGATGATGATGATGATGATGATGATGATGATGATGACGATGCTGATGATGATGGTGATGATGCAATCCTAAGTGTTTTACGTACGTTCCTATATATTGGACTGGCTTTGGGGCACGAGTCCGTTGTGTTTGACGTGTGTTCCTGTGGATTGCCTTTCTCCCGCGGCTCCAAGCCGCAATGTTTTATGTACGTATGGTTCTATAGATTTGGCCTCTCCTGGCGCACGAACCCTCCCCAGGAGGTCCCAGGAGGCTCCCGGAGGCCCCAACAGGCCCCAGGAGGCCACACGTGGCCCCAGGAGGCCTTAGGAAGCCCCAGGAGGTTTCAGGAGGCCCCAGGAGGCCCCAGGCTCATGCGACTCCTCCAGAGCCTCCATCATCCTTCTCATGTTATGGTATGTTCTGGTATGATGTGGTTTGGTATGGTATACTATGGTATGCTACGTTATGGCAGGGTTTGCTACGCTATGCTAGTATGGTGTGCCATGGTTTACCACCGTATGTTATTGTATGGTATGCTACTGCTATGCTATGGTATGCTATGTCATGCAGTGATATGTTGCGATGGTGATGGTGGTGTTGATGGTGATGCTGATGATGGTGATGATGATGGATGATGGTGATTAGGACGCTGATGATGATGATGGCGGAGCAAATTCCGAGGATGTCTCGAGCGAGGCGCTGGTTTCCCAAATGGGGGAGCCGCCAGAGGGTATCTCACTCCCCCGTTCGCGCCATAATGGCGGGGATGCCTCGACCAGTTTGCCTGGTTTCCGCCGCAACGTCCTCCGCTTTCGGAGCAGATTTGCAGGATGTCTCGAGCGAGGCGTTGGTGTTCGCCCCCAAGGGGGGCCAGAGTTGAGGATGTCTCGATCGGTTTGTTTATTTTTGTGGCCAGAATCGTGGGCACGGATCCTCCCTAGGATGCCACAGGAGGCTCCAGGAGGCCACAGGAGGTAACAGGAGGTCCCAGGAGGCATCAGGAGGCCACAGGAAGGCTCAAGAGGCCACAGGATGCCCCAAGAGGCTCCAGGAGGCCCCAGGAGGCTTCAGAAGGGAAGCGCCAGGAGGCACCAGGAGGCCCCAGGAGCAGGAGGACTCAGAAGGCCACAGGAGTGGCTCTAATCCCATGTGTTTGACGTATGCTCCTATACATTGGGCCTCACCTGGAGCACGAATCTTTGGTGTCTCACGTATGCTTTGTTTATAAATATTGTCCTTCTCTTGCGTATCCAATCCTAAGTGTTTTACGCATGTTCCTACAGATTGGGCCTCCCTTCGGGCACGAGTCCTTATGTTTTACGTGTGATCCTATGTGTTGCCCCTCTCCTGTGGCTCCGTGGCTCCAAGCCGCAGTGTCTTATGCACGTATGTTCCTATAGATTTGGCCTCTCCTGGCGCACGCACCCTCCCCAGGAGGCCGCCCCAGGGGGCCCCAGGAGGCCCCAGGAGGCCGCACGTGGCCTCAGGAGGCCACAGGAAGCCCCATGAAGCCACAGGAGGCCCCAAGGGGCTCCAGGAGGCCCCGCGCTTGTACTACTGAGATTCATTCACATTCCAACTTATCCACAATTAGACTCACTCCCAGACCATCAACACTCAAGCCCGCTTATATTCAAAGAACCCTTGCGCCTAGACGCTCACGGCGGACAGGTCCATGCTAGTAGATGCACACATGGGGAGCTCCACGCAGTGAATACTTTGCTTCTGCTTTTCTACATTTGCGGGCCGTTCCCGGGCCACAGTCGAACCCATTTTTACGACGGTATGTTTTTCCCCAACCATCAAGTGGGTTGGGTGTTCGAACGTTTTCTGCCGTGAGTGCCCCCCTCTCCTTCCTAGAGATTCGCATGGGGATCTGCATGGGGATCCGTTCGGGGATCCGCGTGGGATCCGCATAGGGATTCCCAGAGGCATCCGCATAGGGATCCGCATAAAGATGTGCATAGGGATCCGCGTGGGGATCCGCGGCCTCAGGAGGCCTCGGGAAACCTCCGGAGATCTCAAGAGGCGTCGCTCGTCGTCGTCGCCGTCGTCCCGTCGCTCGTCGTCGTCGTCGTCGTCGTCGTTCGTCGTCGTCGTCGTCGTCGCCGCCGTCGTCGTCGGCGTCGTCGTCGTCGCCTTCATTGTCGTTGTCATCGTCGTCGTCATCGTTCTGGTCGCTCGTCGTCGTCGTCGTCGTCGCCGTCGTCTCTCTTCGACGTCGTCGTCGTCGTCGCTCTTCGTTGTCGCTCGTCATCGTCGTCGTCATCGTCGTCATTGTCGTCGTGGTCGCTCGTCGTCGTCGCTCGTCGCTCGTCGTCCTTGTCGTCGTCGTCGTCGTCGTCGTCGTCGTCGTCGTCGTCGTCGTGTGTGGTGGCACCGGAACCGCACGGCGGAGTAGGTGAGTGCGCGCAGCCAGGTACGCGTGCCCAGCCGAGACCTCGCGGCTCCCTGCTCCCGGCTCCCTGGGGAGTTGCGCAGTGAGCAATTGTTGTCATTGTCGTGGGCTCCTGGGATGTTCAGCTGAAGCTGAGCAGAGTGTTCTTGCAACGTGTTCTGTTGTATGGAGCGTTCCTTTATATAGCCGACTCGCGTTGAGCAGGGGCTGGGTACGTCTCGGGCATTTTTTTTGCAGCCGCGACGTTTTCCTTTGATTTCGGCCCTCTGGGGGCCCGTTACTGGGCTCCGCGGGTCACCAACCCCAGGGAATGGGTCTGGAGCTCTGGGGCCGCGGATTGCACAAGTCACACCGGAGGATGTCTGAGAAATGTCGTGGCGCCCGGTTGTCGGGCATTTTTGTTTGGGCCCATGGCCGTCAAGAGTGAGCGACTCGGGATGGAAATCGGGCCTTGGTCGGGGGTTGCCTGGAGTGTTCCTGGCCCAAGGTGCCCCTAAGATTTCCAAAGGCCCCGCGGCCTCCAGAGCACCCGCCCCTGAGGCCCAGTGGGTCCCAGGGACGCCGCAATGGGCCGAAAAGCTGGGACACCTTGGGCCAGGGACACCTTGAGCAACCCTCGACATGGGAATGGGGTCGAGATCCCCAGGGGCCGTGTCACGAGCAAAAGTCCGGCGTCGGAGAAGAGGGCCCCTCCCCCCGTCAGGGGGGGGGTCTGGCCAGCCCTGTTGGGGTGGCGCGCTCGCACCGCCGGCTTCGAGGGGTGCAGGAGCCCGCTGAGCGCGCCAAAGGGAAAAAGTTGCGCCCGTGCGCGCCGCCCTGTCGCCGCGTTTTGGAGGCTGCGGGGGGGGTGAGAAGCCCAGCGATTTGACCCGAAAGGCTCCCGCGTCAAGCAAGCATCATCATCATCATCATCATCATCATCATCATCATCATCATCATCATCAGCATCATCATCATCATCATCAGCAGCAGCATCAGCATCAGCATCAGCATCAGCATCATCATCATCATCACCATCACCATCATCATCATCCTCATCATCATCCTGGCGCGACGGAAAATGTCTCTTGGGCGGACGCTGCACGTAAATGGTGGTCTCGTGTTTGTGAGATCCCGTATGTACGCAGTCCCACCAGTGTGTGCGTGTTGCTGTACACTAGTACTGCCCTCTCGGTGCTCAGCTATCTTGCGCAGCTCTATCCCATCCCTCGTTGGGTTCTGCACAAAGAGAAGTTAGCTCTGCACAAAGTTCTTCGCTTGCCGCCTAGCACGTTTCGTAATGCCGACCTGTTTGCTTTCAAAGAGCATGCTCTCATCGCGCCTGCCTCTGTACATCTGCTCAGCGTCTCCAGTCTCTGGCACTGTGCTTACCACACCTTGTCTGGTTGGCACAGTGACTTTCAAGCTTGGTCGGAGCAGGCGGTTCAAGACCTGCCGCTTTTGCGTGGCTGCGGGGCGAGTGGAGTGCTCCCTGCTGGCGCATTCGGCAGGGCATTGAGCAGCGCTTCCACGCCATGGCGGATCGCTCGCCTGATGTAGGTGTCTCTGACTTGCACTGGCATGCCGCCGCGAGTCCGCGAGTGCTGCGCGCGAAGAGCTCAGTAACGCCCAGGCTACAGGACGCAATGCGAAAGTGCAAAGGATCTTTTCCTCATCGCTTCGACGCTCTCTCTTTCCCGCTGAGTTCCACTGCGC